GTCTGAGTGTTTAATTAGGTGCGTTGGAAGGTTAAATTTTGCATTCTGTTGTTACTACTTCATAAACGCAAGGTTTACTGCACATAGCAAACAACGAGTGTAGCAATGGTGAGTGAGTGAACGTGTTAGCCACGATAAATAGAGCCATAGGTCATGGTGAGTTGGTCACTATACCATGAGCATTGGCAAACTTGACACAAGTTATGGCGAGAGTGTCGGCTATTGTGAAGGTACTCCTAAAGGCGGCAAACTAATGCAATTTTCCTTAATTAATGTTTTGTCCTTTATCTTTCTTTTTTCAATATTAAGTTTTATATTCTATGTTTCTACATGTTTTCAAGTACTTTAATTCTTATATGATCTAATTCCACTATTTAATGTAAAACAATTTTTAGGATCTCAATCTTTTGGTCTTCTTTCTGAAATAAATATTTTGGTTGAGTTATAGTTGATACTTAAAAAAAAGTTATCGATTAGTTGAGTTAAGTAAAATTAATGACGGAGGTCATTACTAGAAATAAGTTTGAAATTTTTTTCTCTAAATGTTAGATACATTAAATTAGGAAAAAAATTCATTTTTCACCAATAGTTTTGAATTACTAGACTCTTCAGTTGATAAGAAACAATTAGTTTCTTCTAGAGATTATCCATGCGTTGGATGATTATAACTAGAGATGTTATTTTTCACCAATAACAATTTGAAAAAGAATTTTTAATGTCTAAAATAACTAGAAGGAGGTGTTAGTCTTGTTCAGGAAAATTATCTCCCACATCAACATTTAGCATACACCATCAAAACGTTTAGATATTTAATGATGCAGTATCAGTTTGTTGTTCTTTATTATATTTTTAGAGAATGATATGAACACTTCATTTAGGATTTTCTGAACACTCCGATATTTTAACTTGGAATATATTCTAGTTCTGTTTCCCCCCCCCCTTTTATTTCACAGTTTCTTGTTAAAGCCCAGCCAAACAAAAACAGTTGAAGACTCATGAAATTGATAGATTTTGGAGTGATCCATCGATCGTATATTGATGAACTAATAAAAGAGAATAGAAATGAACGAAAAGAGGCAAATGTGGCAAACGTATTGACGCGGGTATATTTTAGCGCAAATCATAAATGACGATTGAGATATGAACGAAGAAGGGGCTGACAAAGTCAAAGAGGAAGGACCAGCAGTAGAAGGTGGGATAGTTGGAAGGGTAAGCACGTTGATTGCAGGATAGTAAAGGAGAGGCTCAGATAAAACAAGAGTGAGAGAGAGAGAGAGAGAGAGAGAGAGAGAGAGAGAGTGGGCGTGTGTGTGTGTGGGGATGATGAGGAAGAAGAAGAAGATAGACGTGACTGAGCTCTAATGAATGATGAAAAAGGAAGAAGGAGCAATTGAGCATTGCCGAGGCTGGTCCATGGTCCTGCTTTTGAGAGGGCTTGATTTTGTGGACCCTCAATCGCCCCACAGGTCCAGCCTCTATGTTCTCTGGGAATATACTCTGTCTTTTCCCTTTCATTCTGTTTTATTTATTGCCCTCAACCGACCATCCTTCTGTTCTTTTCTCCTTCACTCATTTCTCTTATATATCTCGGGCCACAAAAAAATGCTATAATTTGGGGGCACCCATTAATTGACCAACTACATTGTATTTCCCTTTGCTTTTTTAATTTTTGGAAAAATTGTCCAAAAATTCAAATTTATTGCTCTAAGGTACTTAGAATCTATGGAAGGACTAAGGTCCTTCAGTGCCAATATTTGAGAACAATAAATGAATTGAACAAAAAAAAAAATGACCAAGTTCCTTCAGCATCAATACTTGGAGGTCCTTCAACATCAATAGTTGGAAATATTAAAGGACCAAGGCTCTTCGTGTCAATATTTGAAGACGTTAAATGTCTTTATGGAAGAAAATGTGCACCAATAGAAGATTTTTGAATATCATGGAAGATGTATTGCATCCAAGGACATATCCCACCTTGTGATAAAGTTTTACACTTGACAAAATAATATTGCATATCACGAAAAAACCTCATATATGGATGAAAAAAATGTATGCGAACAGGAGATACTTGCATATGATGAGAAGAAATTGCATTTCATGGAAGATTTATTGCCCGCAATGAAATATGCAATGTCATGATAGTATTTCACATCTAATGACTAATGCTAGCTTCCTTTCATATATGAAAGAAATTGAAGGAGAGCATTGCATATGATGGAAAAGTTTTCTATGATATCAATTATGTGTATTTGAATATATCTTTAAGTTTTAAAATAATGTTTGTATATATTCGAATATATCTTCAATTTTAATGAAAATGTAAATGAATATTTTTAAATTTCTTTCTTTTTTAATTATAACAATTATGGATATTTGAATATATCTTCAATTTTCATAAAAATGCAATTGAATATTCTTGAAAATGTATATCCCTAAAAGATTAAGCATGGGCATTTTGGTAACATAACCATCAATCTTTTTCGTGCCCATAAAAAATATTCTTGATTATTCATACCAGCAATTCAATGAGAGAAGGCTGACTCCCCCCCCGCCAAAAGAGATGAGTGGATTGGTTATAGGAAAAATAGTATTCTATTGAGTAATTACTTATTTATTTATTATCATGCACAAATATCCTCCTATAAAAAACAATATTGTTCAATACGTGGTAGATCTAACCTCCCCTGGTTCTCATAATTTTTTATCACATTATTAAAAAATATAATATATCATCAGTAGAAGAACTTTCGTCTACATTTTTTTTTTTGACAAAGAACTTCCGTTTTCATGGATCCACTGCCACAATTGAAAAAATGGTGCTTATGTAACTCTACCTTTTAAATGTTAAGTAGGGTTTTAAAAAGGTTTCAGGTTAAGCCTTTTGTAAGCTTAGGCCTAAGCCTAAAAAAAAAAAACAAGAAAAAAACTACATATAAGCTTGGCCCTAGTTGTAGACTTAAGCATATTTAATCAAGTTTGACTTCTCACTTGTTTTCATCCTTACTTGTGTTTAAGAACATGTGTGTATCCATGCACGTACGCACTCGACCAGATTCTAACCATGCAACAAAATTTTAAAACCCTAGTTAATCACAAGTATAGAGTAAATATATGGTAATTATTTTTTTTTTTCAAATTTTGTTTCTCCTTAATTGCAACGAGTTGTTAGAAATGCTTTTAATTATCGGACAATCTTAATAGTTTGGTACTTTATTATGATAATTAATTTTAATGAAGGATGAAATTAAAAAGTTAAACAAATTTTTATAAGTTTAAAGGTATCAACTATCACTTCAAAAAGAAACATGAAATTAGTTAACTTCGTTTTATAATTATGATCGCGATCAATATAGTAGAATACTTAGGCCCATCACTTATGTCCATAAGTCCATTGCAACCAATCTCTCATCCTTCAGTTTCTTTATATATATTTATACTTCTTCTGTTTTAAAATATAAGCAGCTTCTAAAAAAAAAATTCACACAATAATAAAGTTTTCATTCCAATAAAAATATATATTATTTTTTTTACTTTTAATTCAAATTATCAAAGCATTTTATGATGAGTGAGATATATATTTGCACAAATTTTTAGATTAATAAATATAAGAGGTAAAATAATAAATTTTGTTTCACATGTGCTAAATTATTTATATTTTGAACTAAAGTTAACTGAGAAAAAAATATTTATATTTTGAATTAGAGTTCTTACTTATGTTTTTTTAGCATGTCTACCTACCTTACTTTTATTCAATACCTTAATAAGGAAAATGGGCAGACCTAATTCTTAAATCACTCTAAAGCTCCGTTTCTCAAATTTTAACTAAGTTTTAAGGTTCAATCCTTATTAAAATTGCTTAAAGTTGAACCTAAAAACTTGATTTAAAAAATTAACATTATAATTTAAAGTTTTTTTTTTCAAAAAATAATTTAATTTTATATTATAGCATTTAATATTATAATTTAACTCTAGAATTTAATATAGACTAAATTAAGGTCTCACATTATTTAAAAAAAGAATTAAAAGTCCAATTACATGTTAGTTAATGCCATCACAATTTACAACAAAAGTTCTAGAAATAAAATACATGAAGCATGTTGATATAATCCTCATAAAATAAGATGAAGGATTGAAATTTATAAATCAAATTAAAATCTTGAATATTCATGGCTTAAAAATGAATTCTATATCAGAAGAGAAATTATTTGAAAATAAGAGAGTTAAAAAGTCAAAGCAACAGGGAGATGATGAGTCAAAAGATGAGAGGAAAAGGTGAGTTGAGAGATGGAGAGGGGCAGAGGGCAAGTAAAGAAGCAAGAGGCAGAGGCGGGACAAAGAGAAAAAAAAAAGATGAGGTTGAATTAAAAGATGAAGAGAGTTAAATAACTTAAAATGGTCGAAGGAGTTATTTCCTCTTTACTAAATGGTACATTCCAAAGTAAAAGAAAAAATGTAAGAGAAGGTTTGGAGGATCATTCAAGTTTTAGCTTTTTTTTTTAGGGCTTATCAGGATCGAGTTTTAAAATCTAATTATCTTAAAAATTTCTTATTTTTTAAATTTAAACTCTTATTTAAATAAGGTTTTTAAATCTAGCCTTTATTCCTTACTTTAATATTAACAACAAACTCAAATTGTAAAATTAAATTTGTTAACAAAAAACTATACTAACTAAATTTTGTTAATTTTGAACGCTTCAAGGCATTGCAAATACTGAATCTAAATACTATCTGATACTACAAGGCTATCAGCCAGAAATGTAAAAAATTAAATTAAATACAAAGATAAGTAAGCCTAAGTATTCTATCATGATTGTGTATGTCAAAGCATGACAGTTGATGGAAGAAGGATTGGATCAAATCCAAAGAATAAAAGGGTAACTAAATGGATAGTAAGCATAGTGAAGAAGAGAATTAAAAAAAAAAAAAAACAAACAAATAAGCAAACAAACTGGGATTGCACACATTCGGAGCACGGAAGGAGGTGATCAGCTTTTCGCTGTGGACCTTCTGTAACTTTTTACCGTTTATTTATTTATAGTGTGTATATATTTCCGCATTCAATACCATCCCCGAAATGAAACAGTGAATCTACGCTCACGTTAGCTTTACTGTCTCCAAGATCTAGCTTCCCAGTTTTCTTTCCTGCTCCTTTTTTCTGGGTAAACCCAACTAAATCTCTTGATTACTGACATAATCTCCTTCCCGATTCCATCAAGAATCATCCTTCATTCTTCCCCCCACCTCCAAATCCTCCGTTTTCCATACTCACGTGTTGTTTCGACCCAGAGCTCCTTCATATTTGCCTCCCTTGTTTATACTCCTCTCAAATCATTTTCTGTTTCCATGCTGGGGTCCTTGCAAGAATCTCTTTACTCTGCTCCTGACTTTCTCGGAATTCTCACGGGATTTGCATTACAGATTCTTCTCATCTCCAACCCCCTGTGATTGGAAGCCTTGTTTTCCTTCTGTCTGAGGTCTTGCGCTTTGTTGGCGGGTGTTCTGTTGAATGAGACAAGCGGTTAAGAAGCTTGCACCCCATTCAATTCAATTGCAATACATGGCTTTTTTCTGATACGTTATCATACCACGAAGGTGTTCTTCCTCTGGTTCTATAGCTTACTCTGTTCTGTTATCGGGGAGCATGGCAAAGCTTCCCAATATGTTGTCTTTGTGGAACTTGTTGGTGTTGTCGCTGGCTTTAAATGTGAGTTTGATACTGAGAATGGTGTATGAGAGCGAAGAAGGTTACAAAGGCTCTTCTTGCTTCAAGAAACAGAGAGATGGGCATGTCGTTCACGAGGCACGTTTCGCTTTATCTTCCTCCTCCTTCTCCTCGTCTTCGTCTTCCAATTTGGCTAATTCCACTCGTGCCAATCATCCACAAGGCAGCGAAAGAGTAATCAACCTCGACCAGTAAGTACAACAAAGATCGATCATACTATACTGGTTTCTATAATTCCAGAACTCGTTTCATTTCGTTTTGAAGGCACTCTGTTAATCTGCCGGTGATCCAACAAATGACGGGAAGAAAAAAAATCTCCGGTTCCGTGTTCATGATTAAATCATCATTTTATATGTTATTACTTACTGTGATTATGAATCATCATCATTATCATCAGTATCAAGTTCAGGGTCAATTTCTGGGTCTGTGCTAGCTAGGGCATAGGTGGCTTTATATTATCGCTTACGTCTTCAGTGTACTGTGCCGTGCTCTGCTTCTTCCTGCTCTAGTTCTCGGGGAAGACAAGGACAAGTCATGGCTTTAATTTCGATATATCTTTATGGTCAAGTTTTTTAACTCGGGAATTATGAAACTTGACCCATTCGTTTAAAATTTATTAAAAAAAATCATTATGACATCCGTCTGTTCCCGAGTCATAGGGTTGGAGAAAATTAGTTGGGAATTAATGGGCTTGCACTGACCGAGCACTAGACGTAAGTGCTTTGTCCTAGCTAGGCCCTTCAGCATCAAGCACCACAATTGGCGGTGCTGCTTATTCACATTTCAATATTTGGGACTTCGGGTCCAGTTATTAATATTATTCAGACTTGTGGGTATAAATAAACAATTAGTAAAATGACTTTTTCAGTATTGTCTTTCTTTTTTCTTTTTTCTTTTTTTTTTAACCTGAAGTTTCAGTAGTGTTTGGAAGATAGTAGTGTTGTTAAAGAAGGAATTCCAGAGGAGTTTGGTGGGGGCCATGTGCATGAGCACACCCTTTTTCGGCCATGGTTATGACCTAAAAGACTAGTTACTCAAGTGCGCCTTTGGCCTTGGGCTGTCGTCTGCGTCCCAATTGTGATTTACAGTCAATTGTAGCTTTCTATGTGTCCTTTTGTGCATTCCTCACTTTTCCTCTCCTTTATTTTTTCTCTCATATGGGTCGTCTGGATTTGCTGCCACTTTGTGGGTCCTAAAGCTATTCATTCTTTCCCTGTGCACCCCTGGGCAGTTGATATCATGTACCTATCGAATCATTTGTTTCGACGATACAGAGAGATCTGCCTTCTTTTTCCCCCTTTATTTTTTTTTTTTTGCCCATACTGTCCTTAAGCAACATTTTGACAATTTCTCACAGTATCTTTCTTCCCTGCCCCACCATTCTTTCATGCTTGTTGCAATGTACTCTGATTATTTCGAAGTTTTCGACTACAGACCATGGCATTGTAATGAGCCTTTGGACCACCTTGTTTCAGCTCTTGCTGTGCCTGTCTCGTTTTAATTTCAATGGGAGGCATGGTACACTACAGTCACTGCACAGTGCATACAAAATCCTGGTAGACTCAAAAATCTATGTTACGGGCATTGAATTCAAGATGTTAACTTGGTGAGCTGATTCATGCAGCGGAGATCCGACAATTTACGAGACATTTTGGCGACAAATGGGTGACAAGACCACGATAACAATCCCAGGATGGCAATCCATGAGCTATTTTTCCGATGCCACCAACATTTGTTGGTTTCTAGAGCCTGAGTTGGCGAAGGAGGTGGTGAGGCTGCACGATGTGGTTGGCAATGCTGTCACAGAAGGTCGCCATATTGTAGTTGGCACGGGTTCTTCTCAGCTCTTTCTGGCCGCTCTCTATGCTCTCTCCCCTCCTGATGCAGCTGAACCAATCAGCGTTGTATCCGCCGCACCATATTACTCGGTGAGTACACCTCAAAGTTGACTTTTGTTTCATCAACAAGATTATTGCTACCATGTGAGCTATTTACTACCTGTAATTGGCAATGGTTTATAACTTACTTTTGGGCTGATTAGAGAATTAGAGAATCTAAGCAAGACGATGGTGGCGATTAACTACTATAAGTATCTAGCATATTGGGCAGGGGATTGCATAATGCATAGCTTTAAATTTATTCCTCACTGCGATTCTTGGATATTTTTTTTAATGAAAAGGAAAGAGGAAAGATAGGCGTGTTGTGAAAGAGGCATATATTAATTGTAGAAGGCGACTTGTTCCTGACTCGCTACCATATCTTGTGTATCTGCATCCAGTGATAAATTTTCTGCGTCCTTGTGCATCCTCAGCTTTTTGGTTGTTTGTCTCCATTAATGTCTGTCTCTCTGCCACATATACACAATTGCATAGCAGCACCTGATCATCACATGGATGCTTATGATGACCATCTGCATGTGCTTAGCTGACAAAGAATTTTTTATTTTTTCACCCTCACTTTTGGGAAAATTTTTCGTACTTGAACATGAAAAGTGGGGTCTTGTGTTTAATTCTTGAAGAAAGGCAAAAAGGAATAAAATATTACCACTGCTACTGATATTACAGACAAACAAAGCAGCAATACATATACCTTCTGAGAATTTAAAGCAAATGATTTTTGAGAGGCTCTAAGTTTTAGTTGTGATGGGATTACAACTCACTACATTGCATATACCTTCTGAGAATTTAAAGCAAATGATTTTGAGAGGCTCTAAGTTTTAGTTATGATGGGATTACAACTCACCACATTGCAGATTCTTCATACTGTTCAAGATTGTAAAGAAATTAGCTACCTGTCAGTACTCAATAATTTGATCTACGACGTATACACATTCAACAAGGAGCTGCATTTTTCTCAGTGCTTCTTAAAGTTTTACCTATAAATGTTATAGGCTTTATTGTACATGGCAGGCTATAGACATTTTAACTGATATTAATGGTGGTTTAGGACTGAATTGATGAAGAATTTACTTGCAGTCATACCCATCAATGACTGATTACCAGAAATCAGGACTGTACAAATGGGCTGGCGATGCAGATAGTTTTGACAAAGAAGGACCTTACATTGAGCTTGTCACTTCCCCAAATAACCCTGATGGATATGTGAGGCGCTCTGTGGTGAACCGGAGCCAGGGATTACTGGTTCATGACCTGGCCTATTATTGGCCACAATACACTCCTATCTCTTCCCCTGCAGATCATGAGCTCACTCTTTTCACCGTCTCTAAAAGCACTGGCCATGCAGGAATGCGAATAGGGTAATTTCATAATTAAGACAGAAAATCTCCCTTTTGGTCCTCGACAGATGGATTGATCAACTTTCAAATTAGCCTCCCCACGACGGTTTCTTACAATTTAGTCTCTCAAATACCAATACTTGCAATGTTGTCTTTTTATTCTTGCATCCTCATCCAAAATTTAATGTCACTCCTAACAATCTGCTCACTTCAATGCTGGGTGACAAACTTGACTCAATGGAGTGGCGCGCTTTGCATTTGAGAGGTCCTGGGTTTGTGCATACATTGGGTCATATAATATATCTTTAAATTTTGGATTAAGAGAAAATGTAAAAAGCGACATTGCAAGCATGATAATAATTTTGAGGGACTGAATTGATACATGTCGAGAACCGGTTGAAGGTTCACTGATCTGTCCGGGACCAGAATAATGGTTTTTGGTTTTGGAAACAAGCATTTACTCCTGAAGTACCATACCGTCTCTATCTGCCCCTTAGAAAATTTCACTTGATCCTGTTGTAGGTGGGCTCTTGTAAAAGATCAAGAGGTGGCTAAGAAAATGACTAAATTTATAGAGCTGAATACAATAGGTGTGTCAAAGGACTCGCAGCTGAGAGCTGCCAAGGTCCTGAGGGCAGTGTCAGATGGCTGCGAGCAAGAAAGAAGCTCCCAAGGGGGAGAATCCTTCTTCAAGTTCAGCTACATCCTCATGGCTCAGAGATGGAAGCAGCTCAGAGCAGCTGTTGAACGCAGCGCAATGTTCAGCTTGCCAAGCTTTTCTCCTTCATTCTGCACCTTCTTCACTCAGGTCCTTGAACCTCAACCTGGTAATAACCAAAGTCACGAACTTCTTGTAACCCTTCACTACAGGTTTTTTTTTTTTTTTTTGCCTTATCTGTGGCATTCCCTTCGGTGCAGCTTTCGTGTGGTTGAAGTGTGAGGGGGATATAGAAGACTGTGAGAGCTTTCTTCGAGGGCACAAGATCTTAACAAGAAGTGGGAGGCACTTTGGGGTTAGCCCCAAGTACGTGAGAATTAGCATGTTGGACACAGACGAAAATTTCATGCGGTTTTTAGACAGATTGTCGACCATACAGTCATGAATCAAACAAAGAAACGCAAGTGTTTGTAGCTAGGGAGCAGGATTGGATTATTTATGTGCAACCAGGAAACTCAGGAACACAATTTTGTTGATCCATGGGGAATGAACGTGGTGATCTCTTTAAAAATATATGTAACTACTGGCCTTGGGTTTCAACTTTTGCCACAGCATAATAATTTATTAGCCATGGTGCTTCTCTGTGCGGTTTATTGGCCAAATCCAGTGTGTTTACATTGGTATTTGAAAGAATGAAAGAGTCAGACATTTTTGTGTAATCCCCTATATATAGTTATATGTGCTATATGTAGAGAGAGAGTTTCAATCACCAGTGGCATGGGGACATTCAGAATACTATGAGCATGGTAAAGAACTGGAATCTACAGCCTTGCCGTGCCGCTTTGCTCATTTTTGTTGGATTTCAAGACAGATTTTGGTGATTTTACATATCAAGTTTTTTTTGTTAAAAAAAAAATTAGATGCATGGAATCTACTCTGGTTATCTTTTATTAAAAAAATGACAAATATAATTCACTCTAAGCACTCAAACCAGTGACATTGTTAATTATCTTTAGAATAGGGATCACATGCTGCTGAAAAGTTTGTTGCATTAATAAAAACTTGAACTCAAAATCTTAGGCCTGAGTGATCATAGTTCCTTCCATTAAGACCAACGCTTGATAATAACGTTGTCTAATTCACGTAATTAATTTCAATTACTAAAATAAGGCTGCTGATGTTGGTTTTTATCATAAATTAATGCAACAAAAGGGCACTATGATCACTCATTTAAATCTAAACTATTTTATATGAAGGATCAACTGCCAAGATTATATAAGATCAAGCATCAATGACCACAATGTATTTTTGCTCAATTTCTGCACTTTCTTGATAATGGCGTTTAATCCTCCTCAAATTTCTATCAAGGGTCTCCAGCTCAGACCCAAAAACAAGAACAACACAACTAGTTTTCAAAGCCCAACAAAAGGAAAAGTAATTGGTCGATCCAATTCAAATATTAGAAAGTTGAGGAATAATGGGCCTTTTGTCCACTAACACTCATCAAGACATATGGGACGGATACAAGAACAGCTCACTTTCTGCTGAGTGCGGTCTCCACGGCTTTTAATTCTAAAGCCAAGCTGATTACTCATTTCTTGCAAATTTATTTTCATTGACTTAGTGCCTTAAGATTTAGTTTGTTTTTCCGTTTTAGATGTGTTTTTGCGAAGTCTATGATTTTTACTTCTTACAGATATTACCTCTAAAACCCCGCGAAAGCACATTTGGAGTTTTATTTTTATTTTTAATATGAAAGGGTAGATTAATCCAAACAGGATACAAAAGTAATTAGGTTATAACATAAGACCTTTTTTTTTTATTTGTCATCTACCACCTCTTGACATAAAGATGTGGTTGATCAAAAGCACAAAAATTCCCGGTCTCAAGCATTTTGAGCTAGAAAATGAACACAAAAGTTTGCATCTCTATACATGAAATTCAAAGGCACTACTCTAAAGCGTGTCAAAAAATCTCTGGCTTGTTCAATCACATTTCTGAATGGACGTTGAATGTTGATTGACGTCAGATCTAGTCAGAAGATTAATTGTCTCAATACAATCAGTAAAAACATGGATTCTATGTCATTTATAGTTTGGAAAGTGTTACCTAAATATATGTTGTTTTCCTGGGTTCATGATTCATGTCATATTTAATTACTGCTGATTCAATCACAGTGCCTAATTATCCGTTCTTCAAGTGTATATTCATCACAAGTATCAATGATTTTAATTCAAATTACCAACCCTTTCGCTTTTTCTAACAAAAAATTGAATACGTAAATTTCTCAGTATGCACTCTTTAAACTGTGAAGTTATGGTCGATTTAATCTTAGTGACTCGTCAAATTTCAATTCATCAAAGATATTGGTTATACTATGATCAAATATAACATTTACCCTTCGTTTTTTAAATGCATGTCATTTTGGTTATTTGACACAAACCAAGTAATTTTTTTTAAACAAAATATTACTCCTATTTATAGGAAAAAATGTCACTTTTCATTTATTTATTTTTATATAAGTAAAATTACATATTTCAATAAGTATTTATTACACATTTTCTAAATCACCCCTTATAATTTACATTAATGAAGAATAATTAATACATACTTATATTGATTAAATAGAGCATTTAGTTCAATTTTTTTTTAACTTGTGGACATAATTATTATACTTAACTAATTTTTTTAAACTGTATGATATAATTTTTTTTTTATATATAGAGAAAAGGAGGGAGTAGTAAACATGATACCATTGATGATAGGTGATGATAGATTAAATTAAAAGTGTGATTTACCATATATTTTAAATGGTATGTTGATAATTTAATATCAATTAACGGTGATATTGATCTTTTGATTATTACGCACACGGTGGTATATATGGTCGTACCTTCAACGTTTCATTCATCTATCTCATGGACTCAAAATAGCACGCTCATTTTGACCAAATTTTAATAGCAGTAATAATAGTAATATAATATATTCCTAATGCCAATGGGAACTGGATCTAATAGAAGATTGGATTTAGATTGGGTAAAAATACCAACTTCAATTATTTAATGAGTATCTTAATTATAATTGTTGGAGTTCATTAACATTTAAAAATTATCAAAATATATTTTAAAAAAAAATCAATACACTCTCTACATGTTATTCTTTTCAAAAGTTTAAGATTTGATATTTTTTTAATATTACATGATAAAATCTTCAACAGTCATTCGATAAAATCAAATAGTTATTATTGTAAAAGACATTTATTAAGTAAATAAATTTAGAGCACTTACCAAATTTAAATCCAAGAACATTGCTTTGCTTCAAATATTTAGAACATGACCTTGTTTTAAACATGACTTAGGCGTCCACTATTATTAATTAAGTTGTCATCAGAACATACATATGACGCGAGTTGGAGGCAACTAAAGCATATCTGATCATATTCCTCATAATCATTCATGCATGGTAGATTTACGATAATATCTATATGTAAGAAATAGCAGAGCCTTTAAACGACTGCTGAGAGTTTGAAAGGCAGAATATAATATTGAAAAAGGAAGATCAATAGTGAGAAAATAAAGCATCTCTATGATTCTTGTAGACGAGAAAGCTGGTTAGAAAATTATTAAAGAAAGAGAAAAAGAAGAACGTAGAATCTCTTTGACCCTTAAACACAGGTTTGTTTAGAATCGACTAGCGGCAGCCATGATCTCCCTCACACACACACACACACACACACACACACACACACACACCACTTTAAGCGTAAAGTATAATTTGATATACTGTCACACCAAACAATAATGTCAATAATTTAAAAGCTAGCCTAGCAGTGCCCTTTAGACGCATATATATCGTACCTTTTCTCCACAACTTTAGCGCATGTTATCACATTAATGCATCTCGACATAGGTGGGTGCTACCTATGACCTACATATTTAAAATGTCCATTAAGAAAAATTATTTTATTTTGCCTCAATTTCCATGGATTCTCTGTATCAGTCTACACCTAGGATACTCGATCAACAAAGAAATACAAGGTCATGGTGGTCCCTACATGCCAGGTGGAGGCCGCAGATCTCGATCTCTCTTTCTCAACGTAGTGCCTGTTTGGATACGTCTTTAATTGATTTTGTTCTCAAAAAAATCAATCATTTAATTTATTAGCCAAATGCCTGAAAAATAAAAAATTAAATTCAATCATTAAAATTAATTTTTTACAAAAGCCAAGATTTTGAGCTTTTCCGAAAACAATGATAAAAAAAATATTGAAGAAATTATAAAAAAGGTCTAAAAAAATTTATAAGAAAGACACAAAATTTTATTAAAAAAAAACTCTCTTCTCTTCTCTCTCTCTTTTTTTTAGTAAAATTGATTCTGAATAAATTATTCAGACATCTTCAATTATGTTAAAATTAATTTTAAAAAAATAATATTCAAAAAGACTGCGTTATGATATAATCAATTATGATTAAAATCTACCATTTAATCAATTATTTTCATAATCTATTATACTCAATTGAAATTCAAACGGGCACGTAGTCTAGATTTAAAAAAATATTCTCCATAAAATTACACAAAAAATGATATTATTTCCACCCCAAGGACGGATCTAGGGTCTCATACATACATGGGAGGCAAAATTTAAATCATATAAAATATGAGGGCTGAAATCAATTTTATCATTTTTTTCAGAGAAAATAGAAGGGGGGGGGGGACGCTCCCACTTGCCTCCCTTAGACTCACATCTGATAATCACTAATGAATAAGGTGATTTACTTTATATTTTATATTGTAAATTGATGGTGAATATAATTGACTAATTGTTTCGGATTTGGTTTTTGAAATTTTCATTAGTTACTGTGCGGTTTTGCACAAAAGATATTAATCTATACAAGCCCAATATGATCGCTTTCCTATGTAGGCCAAGCTTGGGTTTAATTCAAAAGCTCGGTTCAAATCAAGTTAGCTTTTTTTGTTTTTTTAGTGGATGAAAATTCTATGCCATGTGGGCCGCATTATTTTTTATGTAGGCTAGCTACGATCTTTATGCCATCTAATTGATGATTTAATTAAACAACTATGTAGTCTATCAAAAAAAATACATATATAAGAACTGGTGGATACGGGTAATGATGAAATGGCGGCGTCAAATAATTGTTCGGTGCAAATGATTAATGCCTAATCAAAGCTCTATCTCCTTTATCATCCTCTTTCTATTTTAAATTATAAAATATTTTTTAAAAAATATTCAACATCTCAAAATACACTATATTTTATAAAAAATTAAAATTTTATTAAATAAATTTATTTTAATATTATTTTTTATTTAATTTTTATTTTTTAAAATATATTAAATGTAAAGCATTTTTAAAAATTTATATTTTTATTTTTTTAAAAATAAAATTATTAAATGTATTTAATGAGATTTATTAGTATATGAAATTTCGTCTAGAAGTATCTTATAATTTAAAATAAAAAAAATATTACATTCGTTGAATTGGCTTAAGAATCATTGCTATTGATTTATTCTTAATTCCTGATTATTTTTCTCTTCTTTGAATTCGGAATATATATCAATTAACATATTGGTCAATGCTAGTGTGGTCTTTCGATCTAGCGCTCAACTTCAGTTAAAAGTAAACATTAGAGAATAAATAAGTTTAACTTAAAAGTAGTTATAGAAATTCAAAACGTGTAAGGACAGACACGTGAGACGTGACAGTGTTTTATTGGGTCAAAGTACACGAGACGACATAAATCAGGGCAATCTTATCCCAATCCCACCCCAAATAGAAATGTCTTGCATGGTGTATGTTATATGTCTTATATTTTGGTAAAAATGAAAAATGAAAAAAGATTTTAATCATTCAGGCTTATGGGTCGGCTGGAATAAAGCAGCTGGAGTCAAAAATTCAAACTTATACGGAGTGTTTGAATCACCTGCTCTAATTTTGATAAGACAATTGAATTGAATGACAAAGACTTTGTTGCATTTGCTCGTATGCTTAACTCCTAGAAGACACATGGCCTCACTGAAAAGCTAAAACACTAGTTTCATATCATATACTCCGATGTAACGCTTGTTGGCAAAATATATAATCAGGTTTCTTGTTTAAACGCGAACGACGAATTAAGGGTGCGTTCATATTTTAGTTGGGTAAAATTGATCAAATAAAATTTTAAAATGATTGATTATCAGGTAGAGCTTCAAATAGTTCTCCTACAATGGAGTTTCAGACCCATGATTAATTATTAAATGGAATTTCAAAAAATTGAGTGTTTAGGTATTTTTTTTAAACAGAATTTTAGGGGCTATAATTGATTATGAAGGGATATCTAAACACAACCAAAATTGATAGGGTGGATAAGTAAGGAGTTCTTTGGTGTTTGAGAGTCACTTGCACTTCTAATTTTTTATATTTTCATATTTTAGGGGAAAAAACTTGATGGTCCTTTATTATAAGTCATCTTGTCATCAATTATTTCCTTCTAGCTAGTTTCACACTCCAGCAATTTTTAAGAGCATAGTAAAATGTTGCATGTGACTATATGAGAGAATTATATTTTTAAAGATGATTCATTTAATTTTTTTTTGAATTAAAGACTATTCATTCAGTAAAGGTAAAGTGGAATTTTTTTCAAGTAATATTAATAATTTTGTTTGGGCCAAATATGAACAAATTTAACTACCTTTTTTAATTCCAGCAAAATATGTATAAACCAAGGAGTATATAATGAAGTTTGTTCCCCCCTCCCAACGAGAAATAGCCTAATTATATCGAATCATATTAAATAAATATATTAATGTCCATGAAACCATTATTGATAATAACGATTTCATATTAATGGAGTTGGGATTAGTCTAAATAAAAAGATGACAACACTGCTGATGCAACAATTTTTTTTTTTTTAAAAGGTCTAACCATTTCAGTGGGTTCCAAAGGATTCACATTTTTCCGTGGTAGGTTCACGTGGACATGAAGAGTTTGTGATAGAAGCTAAGCTATACAGGGCTATAGGAATAGGACCCCCCCCTTCTCTTTCTCTTTCCCCAGCTCAGAAGCTGTTTTTTTGGTTTGTCCTTCTTCTTTTCAACATCCCACCCACACACTGCCATATTCACTCCTCCTTTCTTTTGCTTCCTTTCCACGTCTTCCCCCATCAATAAGTTTAATTGTTACAAACATTCTCATAACTAATTCATTCGTTCACACTCTTTACAGAGGAAAAAGGAGGTAGGCCGTAGAGGCTGTAACTTGAAACAAGCTTGATAGCTCAGTTTAAATAAGTTTAAAAAAATTTTAAGATCACGTTGAGTTGAGAGTTTCAAAAAAATAATATTTAATAATTTAGGATCTGTACCAACTTAAATAAACTCAAGAAATTAGAGTTAGACTTAATTATGTAAATTTTTTTATATAACAAGATACTTATAAATGATATTTGAATAAGCCGATCTAAATTAAATCTGATTAAAATAAGTTTGGCCCTTTTAAATCATCGACTCCAGTAAGATGACTCTCATTCCTCAGGCCCCTCAACGGCATGAACGAATGTCCCTGTGTTGACATAGGACATAGCCACCCACTTGTTGTTCCCCGTTGGGTGTTTCAATCCATAAATTATTGAATTGATGGTTTCAAGGTCGATTATAGTACGTAGGATATAGAAAGCAGATATTCTAAGAGGAAAGTGGATAATATAATGGACTTGATTGACCCAGGAAAAGTTGTTGACTACTTTGGTGATCTCGAGGAAACGAGAGAAGGCAAAGGTTTCATGAAATGGAGGACATTATTTAGCCTCTTCATACATTGACCATCAATGAGCCTCTGCCATGCCCTCGTGCGTGTGCGCGTGCGTGTGAAGGAGAGAGGGACGAAAGAGTCTGACGAAGGTGAATGCAGAAACAGCGATCATCGACTTTCTGCTTTCTCATTCAACATGAAACGGTTCTCTTATTCTCTTTAGATGATTAAGGTTGTAATACTTCTAAAGAATTAGAATAGGTTTGATACCTCAAAATTATATTGCTTTTAGAGATAGAGTTATCATTGTAAAAAGTAAGGTACTAAACCAGACCCGTTAATCATTGATCCAACTCGTCAACTTGTCCTTATATTCAAGGATCATATCAATTTCACATTGACATTGGGGAACCTTAAAAGTGTGGTAAAATTTATAAGGATGAGGAACTCTTTTACTCTTTTCAGATGAGTTTTCATTTGAGCTTGTGTTTACAGTATTAGTGTTTTTATTAATATTCCAATATCATATAAAGAGCTATCCATTGATAGTCCTAACTGACAAAAGATTGCGTGAAATATCATAAAACAAAGCCCTCGAAAACTTTGACTCTCAAATAAGATGTTATTGTCATAACTCTCATATCCAGATAGGGTAAAATTTATGAGTGTGAGAAACTTTTTTATTTGACAAATTAATTTTTTGAAATGGAATCTTCACTTGTGTGCTCGTAATAGATTAATGATGATCAAAATGACAATAAAATCATTATCAAATTGGTCATAAGAACATTTTAGTTAAATGGCCAAGACAATGATTTAACATTTTCAACATTATTTTAAGAACACCACCCTCTTTCTTGTACGTAGTCAATTCTTGTGGCAAATTAAAAACCCTAACAAGATTCTTATTTTTGGGTCGCGATTTCCCAAGGGTTTCTTTCCCAGCAGTTTCTGGGATTAATTCTGATCTCACAACGATCAATCCGGACGAGAAAATTGTGCCTCTTGAATTGCGAACTAATTCTCGACACAAAAAGATTAAGGCCATGTTTGGTAGGTTGGAATTGTAAAGATGGAAATGGAATTGGGATAGGAATCTGAATAAAGTGATGTTTGGTAGATATGAATTACAATTCCTGAGAATCCTAATTCTATGGAAAAAAGCTAATTTTGATTCCTTATGTAAATCTATGGAATTGGGAGCAATTCTATGGAATTGTAATATTTAAGACACTTTTGCCCTCATACAAATTCCAGAAAGACAAATTTGCTCTCAAAAAAAAATAAAACCCTCATATGCTAGCAAAAAAAAAAAGAAAAAGGGAGTATAAAAGGGTGAATGATATTTTTTCTCATTATATATAAAGCGTTATAATATATATATAAGATAGTATTATATATAATATTTGTATATAATTTATATATTTATAATATTTTTTTGGTATAATATTTATAATATTTTTTTGGTATAATTTATATATATTTTTTTATATATAATATTTCATTAATATATAAAATACATAAGAAAATTGGTACACAATTAAGTTTTTATTATGTTTTATTTTAATTTTTATATAGGGGTATTTTTGTCTTTTAAGTATAATTCTATTTCCATGTCTTGCATACCAAACAAAAGTAATGCAAGGATTCCATCTAATTTTTCTGACATACCAAACATACTTTTATAATTCAATTCTATTCCAATTTTGATTCCAATTCTGATTTCAATTCCAATTCCAATTCCATCAAAAACTATTTCATCATACCAAACGAGACCTAAAGAGAGCAGGAGTTTTTCAATCATGAAGAAAGGGTGGTTAAAGAAGGGTGAAAAAACGGTAGGCAGGAAATGATGGAGCTACAGAGAATATTTTTTGATATATAAAGTCACAGTGAGAAAATTTTGACTTTTCTGCAAATGCATGCGCAAGTTGCAGTGATTGACAATGTAGCTATAGTCTATAGATATGGGGTAGACACAGAGAGAGAGAGAGAGGGTTTCAGTTGTTGTGACTTTCTGACCATCGTCTCACTGTTCTCCCCGCAACAGCTGGGCATCATTTTTCTCATTGTGACAGTATCGAAACCTTCCGCTACTTCTATTATTATTATTATTTACAAGAACAAAAAAGAAAAGCTGATAGCCCTACATCGATCCAATGCACGTCAGCCACATTGCTTAACTTAAACAACTCATTCGTATAAGATTTCAATTATTTAACAATTTATACCTGCTATGAAATAATTAGAAGTGATTTGGACATCAAAATAGAGAGAGTATTTCATATCCACATACTATTATTAAATTTAATCATTAATTAATACAGAAACAACAAAATGTCTAGCCCACAAGCACGTTAAGAATGCCTCAACAAAGATAAATTTTGGAGAAAACTTTTCTGGTATTTAACTAATTGTGCTTTTAATGCTCCGAGAAAGTTTGAACTATAGTCAACCTTGTTCGCTAGTCAGATCAATGTGAGCAAGCGTGATATGACGAAACATTAGAGACATATTAAGGGCCGGTAAAAAGTAAAGAAGTCCAAGGATATTATAGATTTTTTTTACTATTATACCTCAAATAGAAAATTAAAGGAAAACAATATTCACATCAACGGTAAGAATTGGTTCCGTATGATTCATAGAAAAGCAAAGTGAAAAAAAAAAATGCAAGAATATATAGGGTAAGGGGACTAAGCCCTAGATTGGAGCTTTAGAATCCTCTTTAAACAAGATCGTGTGTATAAATTATCCCCTTGTTTTATTCTTAATCATAAACAATTACAGAGAGAATGTCAACTCATCCGCATGCCTATTTGCACATGCCAACTTAGCTCCTAAAAATACGTATAAAATTATTGCCCTACGTAACCACAATTTTTTTTTTTTTGGGTTGGGGTCACTACACCTAACCACACTAAAATTCCCCTGCAATTATAGAATCATCTAAAGGACAAAGAAGCAGTATAGTAGGCAGACTTTTTAAAACTTAATCATGTAATGAAGCTGCAAGGAAGGAAAATAAATCTCCGATTATTATTATATCATGATCAAACAAATTAACTAGAAAAGTTTGCCTAAATTTTCTTTCAGAGAGACCTCGGGTCACGTAAGAGCAAGAGTCCATATATAACTAGATATATATGAAGTCAGATATAAATTAGATCATAGTGCAATGGCAGGTAAAGCTATAGCACAAAGTAGAAACCCTAGAAGGGTTTTCTATTTCTGCTACTCAAATTCACAAATTATTACCTTCTCCTCCCCCTCCATTGAACTCCTCTGAAGAAGAATCAGCCCAGGGAAGAGAATAAGGAAGAGAATAACTGCTCGAAGATTGTCTATAAAGGGCATCAGAAGAGCCACCACCGCCAGCAAAGTCCACAGGCCTTTGCCGTTGAGGCACACAGGAGGTCACTCCAGGCTGCGACGCAATGTCGTTGCAGGCATAACGGAGCAGGTCGGCGTTAGCGGCGTCGAGCTCCTTCTGAAGCCTCTGGACCTGTTTCTGGAGGAAAGTGATGGCGCCGACGCAGCCGTAGACGGGGTCTCTGACGCGAGCCTCGGCCTCGTAGGCGAGGGAATTGACGGCGTCTTCTCGCTGGTGAGGAGGGAGCTCGTTGAGGAGCTTCGTGACGTTACTGGCACCGAATATTTTGTGGACGTTGGCGAATTTCTGAGGCTCTTCGGGTGGGAAGTAAGGAGCGAAAATACAACCTGGCAAGCATTTTCTCCTGAGGAACTTGCAGGCAGCACATGGAGAATTGTAAGAGCTCGACGACGACGACGCCATCTCTCTCTCTCTCTGCACTACACAAAATATTTCATTAGCTAGTTCCCGTTAAAAACCTATATCAACCCATTCTTGTTTCTTTCTTTAATTTCCTAATTTTTCTCGGTCTGTCTTCTATCAATCTTTTGTTGTGCTGGTATTTTCAATATTATGATCTATCAAATTTTGGATCAGCTGACTTTGTTATATCTGATCAAACCCCTTACCTTTTTACTCAGAATTCCCTGATAGATTACACACACACACACACACACACAACATGCGTTCAAGCATGCACACACAATAATTTTTCTGGGTTTGATTGAAGATTTGTTAATTTGTCACCCTTGTATATTATATGGAAACTAGTGTACCTTTTCCATTAATTTCTTCATCTTTCTTTTCCAATATGCATGCTTCTTCTCGGAGTATTTTCCTCCGATTTCTGTATTATATCCCCCCTTTCTTTTCCAAATCAATCAATATAACGAAATTAATTGATCAGAAAAGAATCTTTAATTGGCTTTAAACTAAAAACTCCAATAATTAGCGTAGTTTGTTTAGTTTAGAATGGAAGGTTTTCTTTCCACCTTCTTCTTCTTCTGTTGACTGAATGTTTCAGTCTCTCAGCAGAGATGCAGTAGTACAGTACTATATCGCAGAAAAAAGAACACTTTATATCTCTTTTGCAGGAAGAATTCAGCCGCACGATCAAGTAGATAGTTATTATTAATTTCCATCTCTGAAGAAATTAAATCATCAGACGAGCCAGCAGGGGATCTGACCCATCCATGACTTCATAACAAGCCATAATTAATACATAACTCACCATCATCGTTATTTCATAAATACACATACAACAAAATGGAAAAGCCCTAAGAAGTGACTCGTCCAAGAGATCCTAGCCACAAACTAGCCCAGAAAAGAAAGAAAAAGGATCCAGGGTAAACAGATCAAGGAAGTATAACATACGAAACAATTATTAGAAAAATCAAAGAATTCATCATTAACCTGTTCTCTTCCTGATCACGATTCTATCTACTCTGTTATTCTTTTTAGGCTCCTTTCAGATCAGAGAAGAACAAAAAGGGGAATGAATTACCTTGAGAAGCTGAAGTTTGCCTTGTGGCTAGGTAGCTTGCCGAGAAAAATTATTTTGTTGTAGGCAATGGGAGTGAAGAGAGAGAGAGAATTGAAACCCTAATAGGAGCGGGTTGGGGGGGGGGAATAGAGAGGGAGGGGACTATGAAAATGAAGTGAACTATAATAAGGGACGGGGAAGGCAAAGAGGATTGAGCGAGTGGATGGAAGAGAAGAGAGAAATGAGGGGTAATAAATGGAGGGTACACTATAAAAGAGTGACTATGACATTGCATCTAATAATAATTTCACCAAATGTGGCCTTGTCTCCCCATTCCCATTCTCATTCCACCCTTTTCTCCATTTATTTACACTCACTGCACCTTTTCACAGTATTTATTTGTTTATCTTTCAACAATACACGCACACTGGACAGTTGCCCAGCAAATCTGTGAGTCAGTTCAGAAATAATTTCTAAGGAGACGCATAAAAAAATATGGAAATACACAATTTAATTTCTAAAACTTTATTAGCTCTTATATTCATTCATACAAAAAATATTAAACATGTAGGAAATCATTTCCTCTTTTCACCTACTTAACTTTTTTCTCTCCACAATTTATAAGGGAGATGTACAATATTTGTACGGAAATATGAGTCAACTTGCTTAATTAAACTAGTAAATAATTAAATGAATATTTTAGCTGGTTTAATAAAGTTAATCTTTTATGACCGATCTGATCATGATTTGATTATGATTTTGATAATTAACTCTCAAACTGATTCACTAATCAATCCAATTTTCAATATCTTATAATGTTTAGAATCATTAGCCTTTATATGGGAGTAATTATATACACAATTGAACTCTAAGGGAATATATTTATTTTATTTAGAAGAATGAATTGAAAGGCTTATAAAACAAAAGGAGATGTATCTTTCAAGAGTCAAATGGGCTACGCATTACTAAATCATGTTGTGTGAAGAATCCAAATATAAATATCAGAAAGACCAAAATTAATTCGAGAGAGAGAGAGAGAGAGAGAGAGAGATGGGGTGCTACATATAGAATTTAGAAAGATATCAAATTGATCGTTATTGATGATGCCGGTGACCTAAAAATTTAATACCTGTATGGAATACTATTGCATGCATAGTGATTGCAAAACCAAGTCGAAGGATTAATTCAGTCTGATTAGTAAATGAATCAGCCTATTGTCTGGTTCAAAGAAGGCTATTAAGTTAAAATATGTAAAAACTGATTATACGAGATCTAGCTAGTTTTTATAATATAAATTTTGCATAATGTTCCGACGTACATACACATCCAAGTGAGAATCATAGGTACGGTAACATTTAGTGACAGATAGATTGTTGGACGCTGTGAATATGATTTTATATTTATTTGAGAAAGAAAGCATGCCTGTGTTGCTCTGTTTTGGTAAAGGTAACATGTCATTTTCCTTTTTTTGAAACGATCAATACATGAGTTCCTTTTTTTTTTTAATCGTTTGCACACATATAGCTTCTAATTCTATATTCGATATTGATGAGTATTGTAGTATCAGGCATGTGACAGAATTACATGACTAAATGAACCCTGGAAAAGGCAAAGTTTTCAAAAATGAAAGCGTTCGAACGTGAGAATTCAAAACATGAACAGTAACACTCTCATCAAAGAAAGGAATTAAATCCATTGACTTTTTATTTGTATTTATTCAAACAAAATTAAATCAAATCAATATCTTCTTGGATGTTTCAAAAGATTACATGCATTTTTTCTCGTGATATTTTTTAAAAATGAAAGAAAAGCACAGTTACTACTTAATTATCGCCCCATGCATCTGTATCTTGCTCATGAAATTAAGCTGGTGTATATTTACAGAATTGGCTACTGGAATAATGGTTTTTTTCCTTTAATTTGTAGTTCATCATAACCTTTGTCCATAATCTAGGGTATGGATAATAATTAAGAATTAGAGAAGTTAACGTCTTTATGATCACCTTACTGCGGGAATAAATAATTCTTTCTCGTGACATTGCTTGACTTTATATGGTAGCATCACATACAAACTATGCTAACATGTACATAACCCCCAAAACTTTATGTTCTGTATAGATAACCTCTTTAATTTATTTATCTACAAAAATCTTACAGTTTAAACATGTTATTTGCATATAACTCAAAGTTTTTCGAGAGAGTTATATGTAAACAAAAATAAATTTTAAGAGGATACATATAATTAATGATTAGAGATTATATATCCACATAGTTTTGAAAGTTTTGGAATTGATTATTAACTTGTAAAGGCTAAGGGGATTATTTGTACATAGCTTAAAGTGTAAGAGTTTTGTGTGATTTAACCTATATTATATGTGCGTCTAATTTGATCTTATTATAAAATCAGCTCTCAATATTAATGCACTGTAGAGGCTTGTAAAAGCAAGAAAATATTCGCCTTCGTTCTCTGTATGAAATGGACGAATCATTTTGGCGTGAGACGTTATTTGCAGGTGGAGTCGGACTCTAATTAATTGAAGGTCAACCTTAATTTGATTTCGACAGCTACATCCCTTCTTTCAATAATGTTCCTGCAGTTGTAAGACAAAAATGGATCATTAATGTTCGCATCCGTAACTCTCAAGGTTTTTCTTAAAGCTGTGAATTTGCGACTGTGTGAGGGTATAATATGTGTGCTGTAAGTTGATAGAAACTCTAAATACATAGAAATAGTAACAAGAAAAACAATGCCTTGAAGTAAAGATTGATCGGCTCAGAAATTTTCCCGGTCAAAAGAACAAACATTAGAAATTAATCACGCGCATGTAGTGGAAGAAATGGAAAAATATAGATAAAAATATAGATAAAATCTTAGCTGGAATCTAGAAAATTAAAAAAAAAAGTGAAGTAAAGGGGGAAAATATTTGTCAGTTGTCGCGGCTTTTCGTATCCATGTCTAGAATAAAACATACAGCAAATATATTATTTACAAGCGTAGTGTAAACAAGTCATTAAACTTCATGTAAGATATATAGAATAATTATGTTAAATTATTTATATGATAATCATCATTAATTTTAGAATCAAAATGGTGAAATTTTAAATAAACAAGTATTCACGGCGTACGGATGGCGATGTACATGGAAAGGCATGAATGATATTGAAACAGCGTGTGATAGGCTTATAGCAGTTGTTTTTCATATTTCTATTTTCTATTAATTATACTTTTCTTCATCCTAAATTATAAAATATTTTTAAAGAAAATTTAATATCTTAAAATATAAGATACTTTAATAAAAATAAAATTTTATTAATGATAGCTTTTTAATATTACACTTTTCATATACTCTCTCTCTTCAATATTTTTTCATCAATAGAGAATTAAATGAAAGATATTTTTAAAAATTTATATTTTTATATTGAAATAGTAAAGTTATAAAGTGTATTTAATAAATTTTATTAATATATAAAATTTTATTTAAAAATATTTTATAATTTAAAATGAATGTAGCACTTAACAGAGCTTAGCTCACTATCTGCCTGCCTGCAAATAATAATATATAGACCCCCCCCCCCGGGTCCTCGCCATACTGGTTTGGTTTTTTTGTTTGTTATTTTCTGTCTGGGTTTAAACATTGACCCTTTCATCTTCTAGCTTAGACTAGTCAAAAAGCTTTATCTCTTCTTTGATGTCTGTGTACGTAGCTTGGTTCTTTGACCTCCGTCTGTTTTGTCGTGTTTTGAGGCTGGTCTATATATATTACAAGAAATTATTGTTTTTGTTACTAGTATAGTATTATTCACGTACGGCTTTGTTAAAACTTCGATAAGCTTGCTTGACCCACATATTAATTAATGGTACATAGAATATGATGATGACGATGATAGGCTACTAAGAGAAGCACATCGCAATTAAATTGTGGGGCTTCAATGATTAGAGCTTAAAGATGCAAAACTGGGGCCGTCAATGGAAAGCCCGGGACTAGCTATCTTTTATTCCTCATTTAAAAAAGCCGTAAAGGAAGCGAATTAAAGGAGAATATTATTATTATAATGTTCTTTAATTGCATGATTTGTTTTGCTAAAAGTGGAAACATCATTGCTGATCGCTAGAGTTCGCTTAAAACTGCCAAGATGCTACTCATTATTAAATAAATTATGTTATAATTATAATAAATAGTAGTTGGTGTGGTATCATATGCCTCTTCCACGTGTCCTCACATTATTCTGAGATTGGGTATTCCCTGAAAATACCATGTGGTTTTCACAATTTGAAGGGGAATTCTTGCCCACTTATGGTTATGGGTACATTTGAATATATCCCCCTAACATTATTACAACCCTCTCGATTGGCATGTCCTAGCTAAGAACGATTTTAATCACTAGGTAATTAGCAAAGGGAATCGAGTAATCTGCCTGCCATTTAGGCTTTGTAGTGATCCTTTTGATCAAGTGCCTGTCTATTTAAGATTACAAAATAATTTTGATTAATTCAATTATAAGAGAGAGGTGTTGAAAAAGTTTGAAAAAAATTACATATAGGTACTGTGGAGTAAATTTATTTATAAATAAGTCTCACAAAATTTAAAAACTCCAATTAGACCTCTTAGGACCTAAGTATAATTTGAAATTGAGATAAAAAGACAATAATTTTCATATTAAACATATATACATTATATTAGTCAAATAATTTACAACCATTTTATCAGTATTTTATAATTATAACTTTAACTTTTTACAACTGTAACTTTACATATCCGATATTTAAATTGATCAGTTTAGCTATTGAATATGTGAAGTTACAATTGTAAAAAGTTAGAGTTATAATTGTAAATTATTAATAAAATAGTTATAAATAATTAATATTAAACTTTGTTAATAACACATAATTTTTTAACTATTGAATATGTGAAGTTATAATTATAAAAAATTAAAATTATAGTTGTAAATTGCTAATAAGGTATTTGTAAATTAATTATTTAATTAATGTAATATATGTTTAATAGAGGTATTACTATCTATACATTATAATTTTAAATTATACTCATGTCTCAAGAAATTTTATTGTAGTTTTTGAAATTCATGAAACTTGTTTGTAAAGAAATCTATTCCATGATACTTATAAATAATTTTTTCAAAAATTTTTGAAGTAAATATGA